GATAAATTAATTTGTTGTTAACATTTCCCCTGTCTCCCCCTCATATTCATCATATATTCGTATATATAAACACTAACCCTTTCAAGCTTTATTTCACATTCACACCATCAAAAGATAAACCAGCTAACAAGATATATATCAAACTCGAGCTATCAACATGAAGTCGATAGTTCGGAGCCAAACACGCTCGTCTAGCATGCCTTCGAGATCTTACCCTCTCACAATACGCCCTGAATTCGACTTATATTTGCATACACTAAACTATGAAAACGAGCCCACCTCTTCTTCTTCTTCTTCATCCTTATTGTCAATGGCCAAAAAACTGCACAATCTCGAAGGTATATACGACTGTGTCGATAACTTACTCCTTTTGCCACATACACAACAATTTTTCACCCGAGGAAGGCGCGAAAAATGGTTCGATGAAATCTTGGATGGATATCTCGGCCTAGTGGACACTTGTGCCACGGCTAAAGATTTCATCTCCCAATCGAAAGATTACAATTCGAACCTCATTTCGGTCCTCAGGCGCAAGCGGGTCTCGCAAGATCTTTCCGAGTTCATCTCCTCAAGAAAGACAATCAAGAAGCAAATACAAAAATCGTTGAGAAATATCGGTAGCTATAAAAAGAACTCCTTTGTTTTATCAGGAGACAAAGATCACGAAACCATTGCCATCATTCGCATGTTTAAGGAGATCGAGCGTACGACATTCGAGTTGTTCGAGGCATTACTTTCGAGTGTTTCGGGGGAAACGAGCAGTTCAAGGCCAAGTAAATGGTCCCTAGTTTCAAAGCTTATGTGGTCGAGAAAAGTTTCGTGCCACGAGCATAAGAGTTCGATGCTCGAGTTCGGAGATTTGGATGCTTCGTTGAGTAAATTTGTTAGTAAATGCGAGACAGGCTCGAAAATCGAGGAGTTGCAGCAACAGTTGAGGGAGATGGATTTGATTATTAGAGTGATTGAGGAAAGATTGGAGTGTTTGTTCAAACGTTTGATTAAATCAAGAGTTTCATTGCTTAACATGCAGAGCCAATTGTAGTCAATGGCTGATGGTCAACATGAGTTAGTTTTTGTCCTGTTTTTCAGTTGGGTCTCACAAGTTTTTCTTTTTTGCTGTTTTGGTCCTGTCTGAAATTAATTTTCCAGTTTTTTTGGGATTAAAAGGGCAATTATTAGTTCTTGTTGGCCTTTTCTACATATGTAAATATGGAATCCTTCTTGTAGTTATTTGGGAGTTGAATGTTTTGAAATGTGAGATGTGCAATTTTTTAACATGTTTACACATTTTTCCTACTGATAATTTCGGGACTAAGTTTGTAAAATATTTTGTAATAACTAATAAACTAGTACAACACCCGTGTATTACACGGGTGCTTGCTAATTTTTTTCTTAAAATTTAAAATTAATGAGAAAAAGTAGTTTGAAAATTTAAATACCTTTTATAAGAATATATATATTATATTTATTATGATACTTTTTATTTGTGCGACTTACTTGTGTTATATTATACTAATTCTTTAACTTACACTATATAACTACATTAAATATAAATATAACAACTGAGAAATAATTTTATTTTTCTAATGAATTTTAATAAATATTATGACTTTTTATTATTATAAAGATAAATATAATTTATTTATTTTATATATTCAATATGGATGTCAAATCGAAGATCATCAAAAGATGATTAATTTGATATATTATATATGTAAAACCGATAAGAAATACAAAAGTTATATACTTTTAAAATACATTTATAATTCAATAGCTTATTGAAGGAAGCAAATCAAAATATAGAGATATATTAGTCACTTAGTGTCTCACTATGTAAAATTACAAATAATTAAAGGGTTATATTAGTAAAAGTGATATTAAAATACCCAAGTTAGCTAAATAATATTTATGGAATACCCGAACCTAGATTATTAATTATTAATATATTAATATTATTTGTCCAAACCTAATTACGAAGCATGATTTTTCGCCAAATAAGATTCCGAAGCACCAGAAACAGCCACGTAGGCTCAGCGCATTCTGCAATTATATATAGGGAGGATAACATGTTTTCCAAATGTATTAAAAATTATAATTATGTAAAAAAAAGAACTCCAAATTGTAAAAATATAAATAAATTATCCATAAATGTTTGAACTCTTTCATACATTATGAAACGTATAATATCACGGAGCGCGCTATTTGTAGAAAGAACCAAATAAAGAACTTATGAATGCGGAAGCAAAAACCGAAGGTTTACAAAACTCTTCAGGGAAGTATCCCACTTCCCCTCAGAGCTCTTTCATTGATAGATCAAATATGAACATAGCTTGGACTTACAAAGACTCGATCTCCCTTCAAGCCTAGCCAACACTACTCAGATCCTATCAACTATTTCTCCGGCCACGTCCCGTGGACTTTTATCTTACACTTACTCCCTAAGTGTAAAAGTAAAATATATTTTGATGAAACAACGAAATCAAAACAAAAAGCAGCTTCAATCCTTGAGTTTGTAAGAACTCTCGTACTGAACTGTGTACAACTGAATAGAATAAAAAAATAGAAACGCGAAGCTCAAATATTGCTCTAAAAATATCTCCAAACTCAGCAACCGCAATAAGAGCTTCCTCTAGGGTATTTATACAAACTCCTTAGGGTTGGAGTCTTCTTCAAGGCATAGGACTCTTAAGCTTGATTTCCTTCCAAAGTTATAGCTTATCTTAGGTAAGTGAATCTCCCATTCTCTTTCTTCTTGATCTCCTAATCATGTACGGCTCCTTCCTTTCTTATCTCCTTTACATCCGATCTCCTATAGAATAAAATACCATAATAAGATCCACAATGTCTTATATATGGAATACAATATAATCTTAACTAAGGGAATAAAATAATTCAAGATCTTCCCTTTTTCTGTGATTCCAGGTGCTTGTTCGAACTGACGAACTAATGCCAAAATAAAAATATCTTTCACATTAAGATCATAAACCACGACCACCGGTCACTCACATAAACCACCACCACTAATCCCCGCCATCGACCACTTCTACCCACCGTAGAGCAAGAGAGAAGCATATATAACTGTTTTGAATATTTTTTCTTTTTTTTTTTCCTTACAAGATAACATCAGTTTTTTAACTGACATGTACCTGTTAAATTTAAACAAGTCGCTCATGAGCTCGGTTTATCTTGAGTCGAGTTTAGCTCAGCTCGCTTGATAAATGAGTCGAGATCGAGTTCATTTAAAACTCATTTGGTTAACGACACGAGCTTGGCTCAGCTCAATAAAGTTTGAAAAAAACTATTTTTTATATAATATTTTGTAGTTCGATTCATTAAAACTCAATTTTGACTAGTTTAGTCTCGAATTCAGCTCGTTAATATTGGGCTCAAGCTTGACCAAAATGAGATCTAGTTTGACTCGACTCAGTTTACGCCCTACTGATAGTTAGGTACTGAATTTGTTGAGTTCTACAAAATCTCGAAGATCCAAAAATCTCGTCTGCGCCCTACTGCGTTCACAAGTTTCTGTTGTGCAGTTGATGAGCTGTCAAGATTCCATGTTGGACTTAATTCAACTAGAACAATTCTGGATGTCACACGTTTTTCAAACAGAATAATAATAATAATAATAATAATAAGAATAAGAATAATAATAATAATAATAATAATAATAATAATAATAATAATAATAATAATAATAATGAAAGCTAGCAAATTCAAAAATTAAATTTGTGCTTTTATTATTCATTATGTGCCTGAAGTTGAGCGAACATGTCAAAATTAATAATATTAGTGACCAAAAAAGATAAGAGATAACATGTCACAATTTGAATATTATTAAACGTCCAAAAAGTTGGTGTCATGTCGAAGTGATATTTATATGTATATATATTTTTTGGAAAATAAATATATATTTGCATGTGCAATTGTAATAGCATATATAATTGCGAATCAATTTAATATACTAAAACTAAACCATGAGGCAATTAATTAATTATTTAATTTAATTAATTAGTTAATTAAATTGTTGTTTGTGCTTAAGAAAGTCCAGTCACGGGTTGAAATCAATGAGATGCCTAGGGCTGACGTAGACAATACGAGATGGAGGCGTGATATATAAAGTATTATGCTATAGAAAAAATTATTATATGAATTGAACATTTTGTTAAAATTATATGGATTGATTTGGGGATTTCTACAAAATCATTTTGTTAATTAGGCATACATGAAGCATATATACCATTAAGAGCTTTCGGTCGGTTGGAGAGGACTCTTGTCTAGTTTAGTTTATTAGTGTGTTGGTTGTTGTGGGTGTGTAACCTGTGTTTGTGTGTTGGTGTTGTTTTTCCCTGTTGTTTTTGTGTTTTTCTTTGTGTTGGGGTTCGGTTCTTC